AATAACAAAATCAACAACAAAACAAAAACAGCAAAATGAAAACTTTTGGTTCAATAATTAAATGTAGCCAAAGTGGCTTTGCTGTAAAGCTTAACTGTGTAACTTGAATGTGAGGAAAAAGTTTTTAATTTATTTTTAGAATTTCAATTGTCCATACAAATTCCAGATCAGAACTCTATGAGAAAATCAATTTCTGAGGCCGTTTATCCATTCATCTATCAATAAAATATTTGTTGAATTGCTAGTATATTCCCAACATTATGCTAGGCACTGAGAAGACAAAAACCAAAATAAACATTCAGCTCCTGCTTTCACAGGCCTCATCACGTAAACAATAACACGCACTCTGGAGGAGGCACCTCCGGCCCAGGGCGGGGAGTGAGGGAAATTCAGGAAAGGAAGAGGTGACTGGAGCTGAGTCTTAAAGAGTCAGGAGGAAGTAGGAATGATCTCTTACTGTACTGTAGGTGTGCATGCTACAAAGATTACTCAAAGAAAATCTGTAAGGGGGACATTGTTGTTCAGTCACTAAGTTGTGCCTGATTTTTTGTGACTCCACAGACTGCAATAAGTCAGGCTTCAGTTTTCTTTACCATTTCCTGGAGTTTGCTCAAACTCATGTCCATTGAGTCGGTGATGCCATCCAACCATCTCATCTTTTGCCGCCCCCTTCTCCTCCTGCCTTCAGTCTTTCCCAGCATCAGGGTCTTTTCCAGTGATTTGGTTCTTTACATCTGACTGCCAAACCACTGGAGCATTAGCTTCAGCATCAGTCCTTCCAATGAATGCAGGGATGATTTCCTTTAGGATTAACTGGTTTGATCTCCTTGCTGTTCAAGGGACTTTCAAGAGTCTTTTCCAGTGCCACAGTTCAAAAGCATCAGTCCTTCAGCAATGAGCCTTCTTTATGGTCCAACTCTCACATCCCTACCTGATTACTGGAAAGACCATAGCTTTGACTACATGGACCTTCATCAGTAAAGTGATAGCTTTGCTTTTTAAGATGCTGTCTAGGTTTGTCCTTTTCTTTCCAGGAGTAAGTGTATTTTAATTTCATGGCAGCAGTGATTTTGGAGCCCAACACCATAAAGTCTGTCATTGTTTTCATTTCTTATCCCATCTATGCCATGAAATGACAGGACCGGATGCCATGATCTTAGTTTTCTGAATGTTGAGTTTTAAGTCAGCTTCTTCACTCTCCTTTTTCACTTTCACCAAGAGGCTCTTTAGTTCCTCTTTGCTTTCTGCCATTAGAGTGGTATCATCTACATATCTGAGGTTGTTGATACTTCTACTGGCAATCTTGATTCTAGCTTGTAATTCATCCAGTCTGGCATTTTGCATGATGTACTCTGCCTTTAAGTTAAATAAGCAGAATGACGATCTATAGCCTTGACATAGTCCTTTCCCAATTTGAAACCAGTCCATTGTTCCATGTCTGGTTCTACTGGTACTTCTTAACCTGCATACAGGTTTCTTGGGACGCAGGAAAGGTGATCTAGTATTCCCATTTCTTCAAGAATTTTTCACAGTTTGTTGTGACCCACATGGTCAAAGGCTTTAACATAGTCAACGAAGTGAAGTACATGGTTTTCTGGAATTCTCTATCTTTTTCTGTAATCCAGTGGATGCTGGCATTTATCTGGTTCCTCTGCCTTTTCTAAATCCAGCTTGTATATCTGGAAGTTCTTGGTTTACATACTGCTGAAGCCTTGCTTGAAGGATTTTGAGCAATATTTTGCAAGCATGTGAAATAAACACAATTGTATGGTAGTCTGAACATTCTTTGGCATTGCCTTTCTTTGGGATTGGAATGAAAACTGACCTTCTCCAGTCCTGTGGCCACTGCTGAGTTTTCCAAATTTGCTGGCGTACTGAGAGCAGCACATTAATAGCATCATCTTTTAGGATTTAAAATAGTTCAGGTGGAATTCCATCACTTCCACCAGCTTTGTTCATAGCAATGCTTCCTAAGGCCCAGGTGACTTCACACTCCAGGATGTCTGGCGCTAGGTGAATGACCCTACCATAGTGGTTATCCAAGTCATTAAGATCCTTTTTATACAGTTCTTCTGTGTACTCTTGCCACTTCTTTTTAATATCTTCTGCTTCTGTTAGGTCTTTACCATTTCTTTTATTTTGCCCATCTTTGCATGAAATGTTCCCTTGGTATCTCTCTTTTAGAAGAGATCTCTAGTCGTTCCCATTCTACTGTTCTCCTCTATTTCTTTGCATCATTCACTTAAGAAGGCTTTCTTATCTCTCCCTACTATTCTTTGAAACTCTGCATTCAGTTGGGCATATCTTTCTTTCTCCTTGCCTTTTGTTTGTTTTCTTTTCTCAGCTAACTGCAGGGCCTCCTCAGACAACCATTTTGCTTTCTCGCATTTCTTTTTCTTTGGGATGGTTTTGGTCACTGCCTCCAGTATGATGTTAAGAATCTCCATAACAGAAGAAGCAAGAATTGCAATCCTATGGCCTCCAGAATGAAAACCACATCACAGAAAACTAACCAAAATGATCACATGGATTCCCTAGGTAACTTAATGACTCAATGAGCCATGCTGTGTAGGGCCACCCTAGATGGCTGGGCCATGGTGGAGAGTGCTGACAAAACGTGGTCTACTGGAGAAGGGAATGACAAACTACTTCAGTATTTTTGCCTTGAGAACTCCATTAACAATATGAAAAGGCTAGAGATGAGCCCCTCAAGTCAGCAGGCGTCCAATATGCTACTGGGTAAGAGTAGAGAAATAGCTTTAGAAAAGTGGCTGAGCCAAAGCAAAAACAATGACCAGTTGTGGATGTTTCTGGTGGTGAAAGTCAAGTCCAATGCTGTAAAGAAACATATTGTTAGGAACCTGGAATGTTAGGTCCATGAATCAAGATACACTGGATGTGGTCAAACAAGAGATGGCAAGAGTGAACATTGACATTTTAGATATTAGTGAACTAAAACAGATGGGAATGGAAGAATTTAATTCAGATGACCATTATATCTACTACTGTGGGGAGGAATCCCTTAGACAAAATGGAGTAATTTCTTAATTACTCCATAATTACCATAATTACTCTTAATTACCATAATCAACAAAAGAGTCCAAAATGTAGTACTTGGGTGCACTCTCAAAAATGACAGGATGATCTCAGTTCCTTTCCAAGGCAATCCATTCAACATCACAGTAATCCAAGCCTATGCCCCAACCACAAATGCCAAAGATGAAGTTGAACAGTTCTATTAAGACCTAAAAGACCTAGAACTAACACCAAAGATGTCTGTTTTATCATAGGGGACCAGAATGCAAAAGTAAGCAGTTAAGAGATATCTGGAGTTAATAGGAAAGTTTGGCCTTGGAGTACAAAATGAAGCAGGGCCAAGACTAACAGAGTTTTGCCAAGAAAACACACTAGTCATAGCAAACACCCTCTTCCAACAACACGAGAGATGACTCTACACATAGACATCACCAGAGGGTCAATATTGAAGATGGAGAAGCCCTATATATACAGTCAGCAAAAATAAGACTTGGAACTGACTGTGGCTCAGATCATGAGCTTCTTATTGCAAAATTCACACTTAAATTGAAGAAAGTACGGAAAACCACTAGGCCATTCAAATGTGGCCTAAATCAAATCACTTATGATTATACAGTGGAAGTGACAAATAGATTCAAGAGATTAGATCTGACAGACACAGTAGGGTGGAAAGCCATGTGAGAAACTACTTACACATCAGTAAGATGAAATGTTATAAAACAGAAATGTTAAAAAGACCGAATCAATAAGGAAGAGGAACACAGCACAGGAAAGGCAGCACACAGATGCCAGCACCTGAGCTGGATTAAGGAAGGCTTGCAGATGCTCAATGGGCAGCAACACAGGGATGGTACAAAAGTGTGACATGAAAGACATCTGGGGTGGTTGGAACCTCCATGTGGTTTAATTTGGCTAAAATTGAAATGCAGCAAAAGAAGGAGTAGGAAGAGAAATACAGTGAGAAAGGAAGGAAGAAATGATACTATAAGTGAAGTTGGGAGATGCTAGTGACAAAACCTTCGTATTTCTTTTTCTGAAAAAACTTTATTTTTAAATTGAATGTTAAGAATTTTTCTTATTCCTCTGTAGGAATACTTGATACATGAAATATAGTAACTTTCGTCATTGCAAACACTTTTTTTAAACTTAAGTTTTATTCACTTTAAATTTGCAGAAGTTTTAAAGTTTGATATAGTTAAAGTAATTGCCTTTTTGTAATTTTTGCCTCTGTTTTTATGCTCATAAAGTCCAGTTGGAATGTAACTACATGGAATATTATCAAGATCCAACATAGGTAAAATAGGAGGAAGAAAACCAAAGTAGATTTGATTAACAGCATGTGAGAAGAGAGAGAGTAGGACAGAAAAGCGCTGTCTGGAAGGCAAGATGCATTAAAGGACAACTTCCCAACTAAGGAGCCTGAGTTGAGTCAGCTGAAGATGGAGGAAGAATACTAAACAATTATTTTCAAGGTTCAAAGGAGACAAATCCACATTTGCTTTCTCAAGAGTTAGAGTTGTTTCCAGTTTCCACAGATTTATGAAATCCTAAATTTTTCTTGTAAGTCCAAGAGTCTTAGCATATCTATGACTTTGATGGTTTCATTAAAATGGCAATTATCAAACTGAATTACATTCTAATTCCACATAATTCAAGTAACCAATTCATTTTTCCTCCTAGTAAACTCCCAAGTTTTCTCTTGTAGACCTGCTTTTTCCTCTAAATCCTATGACCAACAAGAAATTTAACTTAAACAAGTTCAAGAACACTTTTGGTTGTTTCAACTTCCACTTTTGTGGCTTTTAAGAATCTATGACGGTCTACTTTGACATAAGCTTTTGTACATATCCAAAAATTGATGAGAAAAACAGTGAATACAATGCAGATATCTAACCTTATTAACTTACAGGTAAAAGTAAAATAATATATAAATTCACTCTGACTACAGAAAACAGATTACTCACCTGCGACCACATTCTGAATATTTACCAATGTTTTTTAATATTAAGGCAGCTGTTAGTCGGATGTGTTTAGTTATTGGTCCCTCTTTTTCATCCTTAAAAAGGAAAAGAAAAGAAAAAGAATAAAGATCTAAATCATACAGTGTTCACACCTTCACAGATAAGGCTTCCAAGGCTTACTTACTGTAAAATCTCGAAAGACAAGGTTTCTTGACCCTCTCCTTAGGGCCATGAGGGCAGCACTGGGGTGATTCACAATGGCCTTCTGTGCTCGAGGAGTTGAGCCTGTGCCCCCTACAGCTGGCTGCCTAAATTGATCAGGGAGAGGAAAAGATTGTTAACATGATGATTCAGGCAGACTGACAACAGATGACCAAACTGCCAAACCTGAACGTGGTTACTCGAAGTAGAAACAGGGTGAGTAAAAGCCCTGGGGGTCCAGCAGTAATGCTTACTCTTTGTGTCAACTGAGGCAAAGGGTTCCTGGTCTTTTATTTCCAATCTATCAACTTCAAAGCCAACAACAGATGTCCTAGTACAACCCATATATATGTAAACACAACACAGCTTAAAAGTTGAGTTCACATCTTTGGATGCAATGTAAAGATGTTAACAAAGAATAATCTACAATTTGAGCTGCAAATTAGTTTTGCTAAATGGTACCTACAAGTAAAATATATTTCCTAAGAGTGTGCTGATATATGTATAGGTCACCCAAGAAAAGATAACCAAATATGATAATAACATGAAATTATGCTAACTAGTACATTTCAAACTATTACTATCTTTTATAATTTTTTATTAACCAATTTCAATCAATCATTTCAGTATACCTCTATTGTCCTTTACCAAAGATGGAGGGACTGCAGAGACAGATTTTATATAAAATCAGATTCAAACTACTCTATGTTTCCTTTGCCACACAGAAAAACTGCGTCAGTATCTGTTGTATTCTGCTGAGGCAACAGTAGTGAGAGAGCTGGCTCCCAGGGGGAAGTCCTGCTTCTGCCCCCTCACTAGCTGCATGACTTTGAACAGTTCCATTTGCCCCTTGGTGCTTCAGGTTTCACACCTGTAAAGTGGGGCCATTTCTAGCATTTTTTTTACATGAGTAAACTAATTCTGAATATTAAGTTAACATAAAAGCAATCTCTAAATTGTAAGCCAGTTTTTGTCTATATCTATATAGAGATTTCTCTAGATAAAGATCTATATATCAACACGGATAAAAATTATTGACTTTATGTATAAATGACAAAGATTTTTGATTGTAACTGATATACCAAAATAACCCTCCAAATCTGAACAAAATCAAACATATTACAGCATACTCTTACAAGCTACACAGAAGTGAAATCAAAGTCACTTGGTCATGTCTGATTCTTCGTGACCCCCATGAACTGTATGTAGCCCATCAGACACCTCTGTCCATGGGATTCACCAGGCTAGAATACTGGAGTGGGTTGCCATTTCCTTCTCCAGGGGATCTTGCCAACTCAGGGACTGAACCTGGGTCTCCTGCATTGGAGACAGATTCTTTACCATCTGATTCACCAGGGAGGCCGAAACCTACATTAATAAATACAAATTAAATACAGTTCACCCTTGAACAACATGGAAGTTTGGGTACCCACTCTCCCTGCAGTCAAAAATATGCATGTAACTTTACATTTGACCCCCCATACCTGCAGTTTCTTATCTGTGGATTCAACCAACCAGAGATGGTGTGGCACCACAGTATTTACTGTGACAAATATCCACTTGTTAGTAGATCCTCCCAATTGATACCTGTGTTATTCAAGAGTCAACTGTACAGTGAAGATTACAGAAAAATGTATTTGGCAGAAAAGTGACTTTCCACTGCTTTGAAGGTAAATTCAAACTCATGTTTATGGCTTATGAAAGTCTCAGCTATTTTTTCCTCATTCTATAGGTCTCAGTTTGGATTCACTTTCTATCAGAAAGCCTTCCATGGTCTCCCACATTGGTGTAGGTGGGCTTTCACAGTGTCCTGTGCATTTGATGTCATTTAATAAGAATCATCTATATCTCTCATTGTATCTCCTGACTTGAGAAGGGCAAAACATGTCTTGGTCATGTATACTTCATGTCGTATTTTAGTGCCTAGCTAAGGAATGAATAGTAATGGAGAGACTAAAAAATAATGGATGAATAAAGTATGTAAGCAGCTTCTGGTGTTCCCACACTTGTAGTTCTGTCTAGAATTTAAACTCTCTGAAGTTAAGACTAAACCGTGTCCTCAGAATTACACAGCAATATCTCAACAAATGTGGACAAATTAATTTATCTTCATATTATAATAATTAAAATACAACTATCCCTTGGTATTCATGGGGGCCTGGTTCCAGGACCTCCTGAGGATACCAAAATCCTAGAGCCAATCCCAGACAGATACCAAGCGATGACAGGATTTGCATATAACCTACACACATCCTCTTGTGTGTTTTAAACCATTCAGATTACTTATATACTCAATACAATGCAAATGATATGTAAACAGTTGCTAGTACATGGCAAATTCAAAAGTTTTTTCAAATATTTTTGATCCCTGGTTTGTTGAATCCTCAGATGCTGAACCTGAAGATCTGGATGGCTGACTGTATTATTTAGAATTAAAGGCCTCAGTTGGAAACTATAAAATAGGAGATACTATGTAAATCTAATAAGGACCTTATAGGAATCCACAGTCTTGACTACAAGTATTATAAGTGTTCATGAAATAAAAGGTAAATGAATAACAAATAGTAAATGTGACATATACACTTTACGTTGGACCATCACATGCCACTTTAGCCTCTCCTCAGGAGTAGTTGTAGGAATAAATCTCTCTGCCATTATCAAGCACATGTTCAACTCCTCTCTCAGAGAACAAAGAATCATATATTTATTTCCAATTTACAAAGCATTTCTCATATATCATCGGTCATTACTACCAAATGACTTGTCTATAAAGTGGAATCAAAACATTATAGAGCTACAAGGTGCTTATACACTACCTAGTCCAGGCAATATGAAAAGTCATTCCTAGGGCACTTATGCAATTTGAACAGGGTCACATACATAGCTGGACTACAACCCAGGTTTCCTGTCTCCTGACATGCTGAATTGCCTTTTATTACTATTTTGCCTAGTTTCCTGATTTGTCTTTTATTTAAATGTGCAACAGGAAGTAAACTCATGTTCCTTACTTGGTAGAAGATTTTTGACTTCCTGCTTGTCCTGGTTCATCTTGTTTTAATCCTGCAAGCAGGGCATCCTTTGAACAGTGCTTGTCCTTTTTAAGAAAATGGAAATAAAAAACATAAGCATCAAGGTCTCGAATGCAACCAAATGAGCTACAAATCAAGTAGTTTAAGAAAGTGTACCTGTAAGTGAGTGATGAAAGAGAACCTCTGCCGTTGAAAAGGCTCACAACCTTCCCAAAGACACTGCCCTGGATACACGTCCTTTCCTCCATGTTCAGTTGCTGCATGGTAGAAAACCTGTGAGGGGGTCTGAAACCACCTACAAAAAATAAAAGTAGTAGAAATTTTCTGACACTTAGATATGTTCTTTAAAATAGAAAACCTGCTCTCTTAATACAAAAGCTCCAGAACAAATATTGAGCAAAACAGTACAAATAAATATCATTTCAAATAATATTTTCAAAATTTCTGCTTTTACTTAAAAGCTAAATACTCAAAAGTTCTTAACACTTCCGGTAATTTGATATAAGCTTAATATTTCAGTCTCATTTCCCTACCGTCAACGAAAGTCAGTTAAGAATCTCTTGAAAGTAGATAAAATTTCATTTGAAAGCACAACAGAGCATAATCTTATAAACAAATACCATACTCGGTTGTACTTCTGGAAGCTGCTCAAGCATTTACCAGATTTCATATCACATATAATAAACTCCAGCATATTCAATATAAAAATCTAAATGCTATAAGATTTGGTGAGTCTGGCTCTTTAGTTGAATTCACATTTTGTATGTCCATCCATGTTTAAGAAGTCATGTCTCTCGTTTCTCCAACATCATACCCTACTCAGTTACAGTCCTTGAGGTTTAATAATATAAATACCTGAGCATATCTGGACAAGGACAGAAATCTGAAGAAAATCAGATACTGTACTATTCCCTTGTTAAATAGAATATATGGCAATGAGAGAGAATGCCGGAATTCAGACAGCAAAGACTACATTAAAAGACTTCAATTACTAACTACTAACTCAAACATTTTTAAAGTTTATAGCAGATCTCTCTCAGAATTCAATTGTTTACGGATGTCAGATAAACATCTATATTTGAGCCAATTTCTGATGTGGAGCACATACATAATATTTCAAATTAATATTCCTTCAGGAAATAAATGACAGGCATTTTAAAATAAATTTTAATCTAAAGAACTGAATACTGACGTATAAAAGATGATGTTAAAAACCATTGGAACTGACATATTTCATTCCATCTATAAATACTTCATCTATATAAGTCATTCCTGATAGTTTTACTATAAAACTATCATGGACTCAAAGAATTAATACAGTTTAAAGTGACGTACTACCCAAAGCGATCTACATAGTCAATACATTCCCTACCAAAATTCCAATGGTATTTCTCATAGAAATAGAACAATTAATCCTAACATATGTACAGAATCACAAAAGATCCCCAAAAGCTAAAGAAATCCTGAGAAACACGAAAAGTTGGAGGCATCACGTGCCATAATTTCAAACTGTATTACAAAGCTATAGTAATAAAAACAGTAGGCTATCTGCATAAAAACAGACACATAGAAGAGAGAGAACAGAAATAAATTCATGGATATATAATCAATTAATTTATGATAAAGAAGTCAAAAATATATAATAGAAAACAATGTCTTCAATAAGAAATGTTGGTAACAATGCATAGTCACATGCAAAAAAAAGAAACTCAACTACTCTTTTATACCATACAAAAAAAAATTAACTCAGAATAGGTTAAAGACTGGAATGTAAGGTTTGAAATCATAAAAGTCCTAGAAGAAAACAGAAGTGGTACATTGCTGAACACAGGCTTCAGCAATGATTTTTGCAGATTTGATACTGATACCAAAAACAAAGGCAGCAATAAATGAAAACAAGCAAAAATACATCAAACTAAAAAGTGACTGTGAAAGCAATGGAAATAATCAACAAAGTAAAAGGACAATGTACTGAATGGGAGAAAATATTTACAAATCATATATCTCATAAGGTGTTAACATCCAAAGTACATTAGGAACTCATACAGCTCAGCAGCAAAAATCCCCAAATTTTAAAATGAGTAGAGGTTCTAATTAGACACTTTTCCAAAGGAGGCATACAGGTACATGAAGAAATCAATACCAAAACCACAATGAGATGTCACCTCACACATGTTAGGAAGACTACTATCAAAAAGACAAGAAAGAAGAAGTGCTGGTGAGGATGTGGAGAAAAACAAAACCCCTGTCCCTGGGCACCCTTAGTGAGGATGTAAACTGGTGTGGCTACTATGAAAAACAATACAGAGATTTCTCAAAATGTTAAAAATAGAACTACCATATGATCTGGCAATTCCCACTTTGGATAGTTACCAAATAAACGAAAACACTAACTTGAAAAGATATGTACACCCCCATGTAGCATTATTTACAAAAGCCAAGATACAGAAACAACCTAAGTATCCATGACAAGACTAAACACTACATTAAAAAGCATAGACATCACTTTGCTGACAAAGATCCATATAGTCAAAGCTATGGTTTTTCCAATAATCATGTAGAGATGGGAGAGTTGGGCCATAAAGAAAGCTGAACACTGAAGAACTGATGCTTTCAAACTGCAGTTCTGGAGAAGACTCTTGAGAGTCCCTTCAACTGTAAAAAGATCAAATTAGTCCATCCTAAGGGAAATCAACCCTGAATATTCACTGGAAGGGCTGATGGTGAAACTGAAGCTCCAATACTTTGGTCACCTGATGGGAAGAGCCAACTCATTGGCAAAGACCCTGATGTTGGGGAAGATTGAGGGCAGGAGAAGGGGGCGACTGAGGATGAGATGGCTGGATGGCATCACCGACTCAATGGACATGAATTTGAGCAAACTCTGGGAGAAGTGAATGACAGGGAAGCTTGGTGTGCTGCAGTCCAGGGGTTTGCAAAGAGTCGGACAGGACTTAGTGACTGAACAACAGGTCCTAGTGACTGAACAACAGGTCCATCAACAGATGAATAGAAAGAAAATGTGGTATATACACAGATAAATATTATATTGCCATTAAGAAAGGAGAAAATCTTGCCATCTGTAATCTGGATGGCCTCAAGGGGATCATGCTAAGTGAAACATGTCAAACCAAGAAAGACAAGTATCATATAAACTCATTTACTATGTGGAAGGTGAAAAAAAGAATAACAACAACAACAAAAAAAACCAAACCCTCCCAACTAAGGTCACAGGTAAAGAGAAGAGACTGGTGGTTGTCAGAGGCAGGAGATGAGGGGCAGGATACGAAATAGGTGAAGGAAGTAAAAAAGTACAAAACTCTAGTTATAAAGAATCTGCTTGCAATGAGGGAGATCCAGGTTTGATCCCTGGGTTGGGAAGATCTCTGGAGAAGGGAATGGCTACCCACTCCAGTATTCTTGCCTGGAGAATTCCATGGTGGGCTACAGTCCATGAGGTCACAAAGAGTCGGACACAACTGAGTAACTAACACTTTCACTCATAATGCTATTTCATTAATATGAAATAATGACTGGAACACTACTATTACAAGAAGATGGTTCTCATTGTACTTTTAAGATTTTACCTAAATACTATTCATTTATTAACTGAAAAGTAAAACTGTTTACACACACCAGACAAACACACACACAAATCAAACTCCAAATGTACTATGACTTGTCAGAGTCAAAAATGTTATCTATTTCCAACTACTTTGCAATACTTTAAGTGAAGCAAATTTATTTACAATACATAAAATTGATGAATCTACCAGTGAAAAGAAAAAAGGATGAAGTTAGTCCTTCTTTAAATCAATTTAAACTACTAAACACGCACAACTCTGTGTGCATGTGGCTTAAGACAACAGGAATTTTTAAGTGCTCGATTTACCTGCTAAACACAGGGTCTATTACGTCCCTCTTACCTATGGTGTTTCCACTCATTCTAATTCTATTTTATCTCTATTTATCTAACTGTTTAAGTCATACCAATAGACTTTGACTGAATATGGTACAAGGTGAAGTTCTAAAATAGTGATGAAGCTCGCTACAATGATCAGATAAGGGTGGAAAGAAATTAAGGTTTCCAAATCCACTAAGTGGAATATTTGGACTTAAAATGCATAAATGTAATTTCAACATAAAATAATGAATTTTCAGAGAACTATATTTTTTTTCTGAGATGGAGAAGAATAAGACATGAAGTGGGACGCCACTAACGTCTACCACTGTGTCTAAACAATTTCCCTTACTACTACCTTTCTATCAACAACCTACCCGGTCCCCTGAAACAAACAACACGTTCATTTAAAGAGATCAGAAAAATTCATAAGGGCAACCAAATGAAAATAAAAATTTCCTGTGATTCAATTACCTAAACTGCTAACACTTGGGTTGTTGTTGCTGATTAATTTTAAGTTGTGTCTGACTCTTTGCGAGCCCATGGCCTGTGGCTCACCAGGCTCTGCTGTCCAAGGGATTTCCTAGGCAAGAATACTGGAGTGGGTTGTCATTTCCTTCTCCAGTGGACCTTCCTGACCCAGGGATCAAGTCCACACCTCCTGAACTGCGGGCAGGTTTTTTACTGCTGAGGCACCAGAAATCTTCACTTTCTATATGTGTTTTTTAAACAAAACTGAGGTTTTTGTTTTTTTTTAATTGAAGCAGAGTTGATTTACAATGTTGTGTTAGTTTCTGGTATACAATAGCTGATTCAGTTATATACATATTCTTCTTCATAGTCTTTTCCATAATGGTTTCCCTGGTGTCTCAGAGGGTAAATCGCCTGCCTGCAATGTGGGAGACCCCAGTTCGATCCCTGGATTGGGAAGATCCCCTGCAGAAAGAAATAGCAACCCACTCTGGTACTCTTGCCTGGAAAATCCCATGGACGGAGAAGCCTGGTAGGCTACAGGCCATGGGCTCGCAGAGTCGGACATGACTGAGTGACTTTCACTGAATATAGTTAAGACCTTGCTGTTTGTCTAATTTATATATAGTAAGCTATATCTGCTAATTCCAGACTCCTAATCTATACGTGCCCCACCTCCTTTCCTGTTCCATAACCATAGTTTATTCTCTATATTTATGAGTCTAAGACTAGGTCTGTTACTAATATAATTTTATATACCACTGCCATTGTATGGTTATATGATGCCTTTGTAAAAATAAAAAATGTCCTTCCTTAAGATGCTTTATCACAATCTGTTGAAAAACTGTTGTAATAAACATGCAACTTCCGGCATGTACAATGTGAAGGCTGCCTCCCCTCCTCCCCACACACACTTTGGGGAC